GCTTAAAAATTTCTGTCCTGCAAGCTCTAAATTTCCCAGGAAATATGGACACAGACTGGACTGAAATGCACTGAATTATATGACAAGGCTGTCTCTGTGACTGAAGAAAACAAAAGGACGCAGTAGAAAGGGAAATCTTACACAATCAATTACACCTTTGTCCTAAGAGCAACTTTCTTAGTTCAGTACCCATTATATTACAGTGTATCTGGTTTATGTGGAGAATTTGTTTCTGTGTATCTGGTTTGTCTGAAGAACTTGTTTCTATGGGAGGATTCATCTTGTAATTTGCAATTCTTCATTAAACATTTTTTGTTGTTATCTGAGAATAATGTTATCACAGTCAGATAGGAGTACTGCATTATTAAAAAGGTGGTCAACTCATAAATGAAAGTGACTATAATATGCATGAGAATAAAGGAAAAAGAAAATAAAAAGAGAAATATCCAAGTGTCTCTCCTGTTTAGGATTCCTTCCATACTTCCCACTTCCTCAATATTTGGTTTCAGCTGCCTGGGTGCCACAGTTGCACTCAAAGCCTAATTCCAGTCTTTCCTGGAGGGAAAGCTTTTTAGAGTCAGGGCTAGTGATGAAAAATCACACCAAAAACTCAAAGAGAGAAAGTCAAAATCACAGAATTGCTGAGGTTTGAAGTGACTGCAATCCAGAGGTTCAGCTATAGATTAGATTCCCAGTTTCCTTTTCCACTGCTGATCTGACAATATTTGATGGTGCTTTTGTCAATACTGCATGTATTTCTCCAAGCAAAGGTCTAACTGCTTGGAGAGGAGGTTTTAAAAACATCTGAAGCCAGAATTTAAAAGCATCAAGCTGGGGAGGGGAAAATCAGGATTCCCTGACTCCACAACTAAACTCAAAAGCAAGTATTAACCTTCAGTCCAGAACATGTCCCCTTTCTGCTGCAGACTATCTACAACTTGTTAGTCTAGTGCTTAACGTCAACAAGATATCCCCACTCCCACCCTTGCATTTCACTCAATTATAACATGGCACCATGGCACACAACAAAATTTTTCCCACTTCTGAGCCAGCCCCACTGTGTGATCATGTTCATCCAAGGAAAGTGCTAAATGACTGTCCTCCTGATTTTTTCTATGCATCTGCAGCTGTAGAAATAGAGCAGTGAGTCACTTTGGTACCTCACTGATAAAGCATTGCATTTGATTAGCAATCAATATATCTCTTCCTTCCTACATGAACACTCTAAAGAAAATATAAAAGTATAAATATTTAATTATTCAGTTTGAAACTGAAGTTATTGATGTATAACAAAATTATCAGCAAGGTACTGTATGATTGTGTGATTTTTCCTTTCCACTGACACAGCTAGATGAGCATAGTAAAACACAAACTGGTAACACACATATTAGAAAGCTTTTCAGTCTTACGGCAACAAAGATGACAAGAGCAAAGGTGAATACAAAAGTGGCCTCGTGTCAGACACACTATTCTCTCTAGCCAGACTTCCTGAATTATCTCAGTATCTACTAATGTAAATTAAAGCACCTAAATAACCTCACTTCAGTCCCTGGTGTGAAAATGCTAATAAATCTCTACCATAAAAATGTATCAGAGATACAGAGAATACAGAGTGGGTAGTAATTGAGATATTCTAAAGAAATATTTGGCTTAGCAGATAAACAACATACAAGTCTGAATGCAAAATTTATATACCCAGACAGCTTGCTTTGATATGTGGGAAATCAAAGCCAGTTAATACACCTGTGTTTGTTATTCATGCCCATTCATGTCAAAGAGAAACCACAGCCTTTCCCCCTTCCTCACTGAAAAGATCACTGCCTTTTTTGGGCATAAAAGTGCTGCTGGCATAAGAATTATCCAGTGACTAGCAATTATAAGGGTGCTCTGCAAGAAAAATAAGCAAGGACTTCAGAGTATCACTTCTATTCTGGAATTCAAGGGAGGAATTTCCCCATATAATGACAACATGAAAAACCTTTATAAAGAGAAAGGCACAATCCCCAAGAGGTATTCAGAAGAAGCAGAGAGTCAAGCCAAGTTTATGCAAAGGTAAGAAGTACCTCACCTAGCACAGAGGGGAGAGATAATGTGAGAGGGGAAAGCTTTAAGTTCATCTTGACAGTTGCATTTGGGCAGTTCAAATCTTCCCTGGCTGCCCAGGACACACTCCTGCACAGTCCCCAGCCCTGGCCTTTAAGTCTGAATGCTATCAGGTTTTTTGATCCTCCAGTATGGCAAATCAGCAGAGCATTCCATGTCACTCATCCTTAAAAATCAGAAGGATTTGGTACCTAGCCATAAGTTAGTCAATGTCCTTCCATTTTTAAAACAGAGGCTCCAACTTTGCTTTTTTCAGTTCCAGAAGAGATCCAGCTAGCACTTTCCTCCATTTATTTACAGCAACCATTAGAGCTACTCATACCACCATTCCTGTCTAAGGATGGCCCTTCACAATACTGCACATGCTCCAAAAGTGTGTGAGGCAAAGCAACTAACTACCCTTGCACCTCTTTCCTTTCACTGCCAATTCCAACATGCAGTCATCTGAATGTAAAAAGCATCTTTATAGAGTGCTTTCCTCAGCTAATCAGATCCCTTCACACTTCCATCTGTAATACAGGTGGGTCACAACAAACCATTAATATAAATACCCAAGACTTCTTTTTTTATAGTATGGGAAGTGTGAATTTCTGGCATACTCTTACTGGGAACAGCAGGAGATATTTTGGATAGAATATTGAAAAAAATCCCCAAACGCATTAAAGTGATTTAGGAGCTTACACACCAGCAACTTACAGTGAATTCTGTACTCCTGCATACCTACTTTCACACTGATTTTGCACGACTAAAAGCTTTTGTGTAATCTTTGATGGTTGCACTCTTAATACCTGTGAGACTGGTGCAACTGTGCAGTGAGTCACAAAGAACCAGGCTGGCACCACAGCTGACACAGTTTCACACAAACCTGCTCACACTCAGGAGTGTCTCATGTCTATCTGCACTAGATAGAGACATATTTTATCTTCTCCAAATGAATAACACAGTCTAATGTACAATCATAAGCTGTCTTGAGGACACATTTTAGCAGATCCAAGGACATAAACACATTGCTGAGACCAGCTGCTAGAAATCTCCCTCCTTCCTCTCTAAAGGCTTTAGCCATCCATCAGGCCTGGGTTAGCTAATAACATTTTCAAGTGTTGCAATGGCATCTGTAACCTTCAGGTTACAATCTGAAGAGATGTCTGCTTGATTTGACTGTCAGGCAAGGCTCAGATCTAATGAGTCTGTGTTTTAACTGTCCTGATTACAATGTGTTCTGGCCCTCTGGTCTCTTGAAATATTTAAATCAAAATATAATTTTGCTTTGTTCTCAAAATGGGAAGTTGAAGTTGTAGCCTGATTTTTACCAATATATACATTTTGCTCAGAATTTGCACATCAAAATTTCACTCAGTGAAATTAAGACAATGTTCTCTTTTCTCTTTTGCACTTAAACTGGAACTGAACATGGTTTTCTAATTTAAAAAAAAAAGCATACATAAATGCAATGTTTTGGCTTGGGTTTTCTGTGGTTTGATGTTTTGAAATTATATTTGCTTCTCACATGTCAAGAGAACTTGAGAAGATATTTACTCAGAACTGTAGAAAAATACAGTGTTCACATTCTTCTTAGTGTGGGGGCTTTGCCTTGCAGATGTACATTCAGGGTTTCAAAGAAACTGTGCATGCACATTCTGAATCTGTAACACTCAAGAATGTAAAAAAAGTAACTTGTAAAAAATTATTGCATTCCAAGAGGAGCCTGTTGGTTCAGTACAGCAAGTACTTAACTCTTCCCCTTTCCCTCTGTAGAGACAAAAGGGGCAGGAAGGAGGTGTGCTGGGTTAGGAATGCAGAGCAGGGTGTCATGAGTTAAGCAGAAGCCTGCTGCCATAAAACAGGTAACAGTCCACACAAATACTACTCCTTTTTTTGTTGCTAGGTTCACCTCTCTGCGAGTTCTGACACAGTGTGCACATTCCACCTCCAGTGTAAAGAGTACAGATGGTAGAGAGCAGTTTCTGAGCGGGTAACATACATTCACTAGACCCAAGATGTCACACAGAAGAAACAAAATAACTAATCTATGCACTTAGAAAAAAAGGATGGTCAAGGAATAGACCCAAATATATCAATCAGTACTAGGTATAATGAACATGCAAAAAGGACCACCAGGTTTGTTCCAAAATGGTTTCACCAATGATCAGCTATAGCACAACAAACCCTGCAGCGCAAAGTTTACACCCAAACATCTGAAAACTGTCCACCATCATCTTCCTTTGTACAAATTATACAGGTATTGCCAATACTGATATAGAAAAATGACTTTTAAGTCATACAACCAACATGATCACAGGGCAAGGCATTTCGGTATCGTCTCTCTGCCAAAACAGAACCTCCTGGCAGCTCAGCTTCCTAACACGCTCACAAGAGAATGCTAGAGTATTCCAGAAATTGAAGTTCTGACAGAGTATACAAAACACCAATTTCCCTTATGCACTGGTCCAGGGACATTTTGATGCCTAAACAGATCATGCTCTGTCATTAGCACTTTACAAAGAGAAAATACAGCTAACAAATTACACAGCACCTGTGCACAAACAATACAAAATTAAAAGTGTGCACAGCCCATCCTACAACCACTAAAGCTCAATAACAAACTTCCAGATCTACAAGTCCTTCGCCTGTGCTCTCCTATGGAGGAAATTGATTGTGCTGCTGAAGTTTGTTAAAACTGGAACCACCAGTATTCTGAATCCTAATGAAAACTATCTCCTATCTAATCCAGGGAAACACAAAACAGAAATGAAAACAACTGACATCTGCCAGTAGGAAAAGGGAATCAAATGCTGTCCTAAAATGAAGATTTTCAAGGCAGCAGCTAATTTATTTGCTAACCCAGCATTCAGTCACACAGCCTCCGCTGCAAGCACTGATGTGTGTGAAACACTAACCTTCATCACTTCAACCTGCAGGTCTTCATTGAGCGATGGAGTCACTTTGACAGCATTCAGCATCTGATTAAGCAACTGTTTCTCATCTGAGTCTGTTTCCACGGATACAAACCTCTCATCAGACAGCAGCTTCTGCAGAGAGAAAATGGCAATGTACATGTTAAGACAAAAACTGCCTCTGCAAAGTACTGCACCTAAACCTATTAGGGCTTGGTACTAGGGTGGTTAGGCTTTCTGTCTAAAATTTTCAAATTAATCCAAAAATATAAAATACAAGAAAAGCAGCAAAACTGGGAGATCTGTGTTATGTCAGTTGCCATTGCAGTATCATCTTTGCCCATCCCACATCCCCAGTGACTAGAATAAAGCAGACATCAGTAACTGATATCACTTCATCTAATGTCCTTAGCAAAACTGCTCAGTATTTTAGAAGCTGGGAGAGCCTGAAACCTTTGCAGCCCCCTAGATCATCAAAACAACAACAAATTTTTAAAAAACCCACTCAGGCTAGCATCCTGGCATTGAACTAGTGCTATCAGATCTCCTGCCCAACAGGAGACAGTCACCTACTGTCCAACAGAGCACTAGTGCTGTGGAAGCGGCAGTTTTGACCCCTGGCAAAATGTGTTTTGTGTCATACAGAAGTTGACCATTAATGAATACAATCAAGTCCTCAGACAAAAAGCACAATTAACAAGTGACTAACACAAACACACACAGAAACCAACCCAAGCTGACATGATACCAAAATTCCTTGTCCTGACATTGGGTTGGTTGAACTGAATTCAATACAGACTGATTGAACCACAAACTGAGTATTTTAGACTGATCAGATTTACTTTGCCCAATATCTCAGAAACATCTCCCGACATTGTCAATGGCACTATTTTCTTGGAGTTCTACCAGAAATGCCTCTTCCATACAGTCTATAACCATCTTCATGGGTATCTCCCATTAGTAGCAGGCATCCTGCAAGAGATGTGTCCACAAAAGTCTTTTCCCAGCTCCTATCTTCTCAGAAGATCCCCAAACAGAGCAAAACTAGCTTGTCTTAGATCCCAGTGACACAACCTTACTCTGTCTTAGTAGAGACTTTGAGCAGCCCACTTCCCTCTCAACATTCTGCATCACTTTTTTACTGATGCTCATCTGCAGCTTCAACATTGCAGCACAGTTCACTGGCTCACTCCTACTTCTTATTTCCTATGCTTGTACTGGTTTTAGCTGGGATAGTGCTAATTTTCTTCGCAGGAGCTCAAAGAGCGCTGTGTTCTGGATATGTGACCAAAACAGCACTGATAACACACCCAAGTTTTGCTATTGCTGAGCAGAGCTTACACAGCCTCAAGGCTGCCTGTTTCTCAGACTGGTTCCCCAGCGAGTAGGCTGGGGCTGCAGAGAATTTGGCAGAAGACACAGCTGGGACAGCTGATCCCAATGTGACCAACGGGATATCCCAAACCATATGACACTGTGCTCAGCAACAACAGCTGGGCAAAGAAAGAGGAAGTGGATGGAACACAGATATTCACAGTTAAGGCATCTGTCTTCCAATATTACAGTTACCCATGATGAAGTCCTGCTTTCCTAGAGATGGCCAAACACTTGCTGCTCCATGGGAAGTGGTGAACAAATTCCACATATTCCTTTATTTGCACATGCAGCTTTGCTTTCACTATTAAACTTGGTCTTAGCTCACAATTATCCTCACTTTTACCCTTTTGATTCTCTCTCCCATACCCCTGAGAGGGAAGGAGTGAGTGGGTAAAGCTGAACTGCCAGCCAGGGTTTTAAACTCAGAATGTTTTAAAGCATTTCCCACATACCAGAATATCAAGTGTTTTATCTCTGTACAGCCTGATGAGATGTAACTAAATCTGCAATGACAATAATGGGGTTTTCTATATAAAGAAGAATGTTTAGTTCAGGATGGGAGATATGGAGCTGTTGGAGTCAGTGCTAAGATGACAAAGAAACTGGAGCCTCTTGTGAGGAAAGGCTGAGAGCTGGGACTGTTCAGACTGGAGAGAGAAGGCTCAGGGAGGATCTCACCACCACACATAAATATCTGAAGAGTGCAAAAAGGGCAGGAACTTTTCAGTGGTGCCCACTGACAAAACAAGAAGCTCTGGGCACAAACTGAAACACAGAAGATTTCCTCTGAACACCAGGAGAAAATTTACAGTAAGGGTGATCAAACACAGGTTGTCCAGAGAGGTTGTGGTGTCTCCATACCGGGAGGTATCTCTTTTCCAGTCTAAACAGAGCCAGCTCTCAGCCCTTCCTCATAAGAGAGATGCTCCAGACCCTTTGTTATCTTAACAGCCCTTCCCTTCTACAACCATGCCCAATATGAGGAACTCTCTAACCAAGTGTCTGACACCTCATATGCTGGATAAGGTGAATTTGAATGATCCACTTACATCTTATATTCCCAGAACAATTTCTTTCTGGCCCTCCAAGGGAAAAAATTCTTTTTGGAAAATGGATTTTATATCCCAGCAGTGTGCCAGGCTTTTCCACAACTAGCATCCCCCTAGTGATAAGTATCTACTGACTTTTACTCATTTGTCCAATTAAAAGAACAGTAAACTGCTTTAGTTTTTATACTGTCAAACCCAGGAGAGTTTTTTTTTTTGTTGCTGCACTGCTGTTCTCTTTTGCAATTTCATGAAATTGCATTTCATGAAATGAAATTAATTTCATTTCATCAGAATCAGATGCTGTTTCTACTGTCTTTAGTGTACAAAAAACCCAGAAAAGTGTCCACACATAAAGAACACAGCTCCAGATCCTCTATTAACTTCTCCATCTTCCAAGCACTGCTGTCGTCTTTTCTAGAGGAAAGAAAACAGCAAGTCCCAGCTTAATTTCTAAGATGCTTAGCAGTGGCAAACTTTTCTGGGAGTAGCACAGGCTCCACAAGGAAGAGTACATCTACATTTCAACGTTAAAATGCAAGACCTCCCACCTACCTGCAAAACATTTTTAAGCTTCTTCAAAATCACCAGCCTTTACTTGCATCCTAACTTCTGAACAGAAATGTGAACATTATTGTTAGGTTCACCCAAGGACAGATGCTTTTTCTGCAGTATTTTTCAAAAGAAAAGCCTAGATTTTCTTGACACCCACTGCCAACACGCTCCCACTCTAAAGTCATACCTGCATCCCTGCTAGAGCCTGTTGGGCCAGCTTCATGCTCTTTGATTCCAGAGCCAGTTGAAGAGGAAGGAGACACTTCTCCCTAAGGAAAATTGAAAACAAGTGAGAGGGGAAGATGCAATTAAAATTGGTATTCAAGTAACATTCCAGAAGGGCTGTATCAATTTCAGAAAGATCATGTTTGCATACAGCATCCAAAGATAATTTCACAATTCTGTGAAGCACTTTTACCCTCTAAAGAAAGCTGGCATATTTCACACACTTCACACATCTCTAATCCAAAAAGCACCTTTAAGTGCTTTTACATTGTGCCTTTGTTATACTTCCTCTCTTAAAGTGAGGAGAACCCGCATTTGAAATCAGCAGATCAACAGGTGCCAAAACAAGGTACCTGTGCATTAACTGGTGCTCCATCAGCCAGACACAAACAGGGAAAAAGGAAGGCAAAAAGATTATTACAGTGTATAGTACTAACTGAAGGATGCTAAAAACTGATGGTTATTTGGACCTGCATCTCTACTAGGCAGAACATCACATTTGTTTTAGACTTTCTACAGATTTTTGCAACAGCATATAAACATTTTGGGCATTATTAATACTGAATTAATTTATTCTCACATTAAAGTGGATGGACACTGGGAGGAGAGGGGAAAATGAAGAAAGTCATAAGCCACTGGAGTGGATCCAGTTCAGTTTCATGATAATGAAGACAGGTGGGAGCTCCTATGGCTTATGTGTAGCTACCTCGCACATCAGCATGTTGCCTGCCATCTGTCATCACATACTGCAATGAGCAGAGAACAATAAGAGCTTTGATAGATGTCCCAAAAAGAAGAGCAAAAAATGACAAACAGGAGGATGGAAATTAGAACAGATTAAATTAGCTGAACTTCCCATCCTTGCTAAAAATGTTTAACTGAAAATCTAATTAGGGCTGCTGCAGACTGTGCTCCCACTGTATTCTTGGAGAAAATGAATTGCCATTGTGTCATTTCCTGTTCTTGTTACACACTCAGTCAATTAAGCCTTTAGCATTTCTATGCTACAGCTATGAAACACCTGCAGAGATATCTTACAATGTTTGATTAGCTTGAGCACCCTTCACACTTCAGTTCAACCTGCCATTTAAATGCATCATCTGATAGCATGAGAACATGAAGGACAGGCAGATAATCCTCAGGCAGAACAGGAGAGAAGGATGTAAATTAACACAGTCCCTTCTAATGTCTTAAGAATTCAGTTCAATAAGGCTGCAAAATAGGGAATGCAGATTGGAATTACCTCAATGGATTTGAGTGCAGTGAAGTAAGGGAATGAGGTTTGCAGCCCTTTTATAATTCCACTCTGTTTTGAGCAGTCCCTCACCATGGGATTTCATTGCTTACTGCACCGTCTGCAGTTCTGTATGGTTAACTGACAATCCATGCAGGTTTTGTAGTACTGCACATGAAGGATATTTTACATAAGTGAAGTTCTCAGAATAAGCTGATGCACAACAATACACTTCAAAACATGTTTAAGAACATTCTCCATTTACATAATGTACACAAAGTAGTTTCACACTGTAACTCCATACTGCTGCATGCTGGTGTGGACATATGTACACACACAGTCTGAGGCACAAATACCTACTTCACCCTGACTGAAACACATCAAGTACAACACAGAGAGAAAATGAAAAGAAGGGAACACCTTTGACTTGGAAGAGAGGAAGCTACTTGCCAGAGCAAGCAAAAAAGCTCAGCAACGGAACCAAGTGCATAATCTGGGGCCAGTACCTCCCAGAGCACAGGCTGTCCCTCCTGAGCAGCCTCACTCCAAGACCGTCAACTTTGCCAACTGCAGAATGAGTGATGGGAACACACACAGCCTTTATATTCAGCACACTGGGTTACAATGACCTTTCTAGTTGTCCAAGCTTGCTGTGGCTTGTCAGCCTACCAACCTACCTCCTTCCCTGCAGGTCTGGAATAAGGGATGCTATGGCAGGTCAGTCAAAACAGACTGCCAGAAAGGTCAGAGCAAGACAAATTACTATTGCACGTAGAGAGATCATAAAAATCTTCCTATTCTCATTGTAATGACAAAAAAAGCCTTTAATGAGAAAAGAATAATGTGTTATTAATTCACTGTCATGATAAAAACTGTAATGCAGATAGGAAATTGCCTAAACTTAACTCCTTGTTGTTAGTCCCTGGAACACAGTCTCACAGCCTACCTTCCCCTCCTTGACTTAGGGAAAGGGGCATGATAAATGAAGCATTTTTCCCTTCATGCAAATGGTGATAATCCTATTATTTTTAATCCCATTCCTGAAAATTAAAGATTAAAAATAAGACAGCCCTCTGCATTATCTTCCTGCTGAAAATTACATAGGAGAAGCAAAATTCAGAACCTCAACACCTTATCAGCACCCAGTTTGCATTCCACAGAATAATTTACAGCCCAGTCAAAGAAGGGATAAGAATTTGATTCACCACTGTTGCCATTTTCTGATACACTGTTTATTAGGTAGGATAACAGTCATAGCAAAAGTCTGACATACAGTCAGAGTAACCAAGGATTGAAAAGATTTTCTCCATCTTGGCTGCTTAAAAAGAACAGAGTAGCACAGTGTAATATTATTAGCATCACTTATTCAAGAAGAAGAGTTGGCCCATGATGAGAAAATAATTGGTAGAGACGAATTTTCAGAATTCTGCAAGTACCCACAGCTGCTACCCTTATGTAAAACAAACAGAAGCAAACACTGTCCTTGCACAAATAGGAATGATTTAATTTACATAAAACAAATTCTAGTGTTGTATCTATGAACACATGTACATATAAAAATAGAAACATAAATCTTTTTTCCTGTACTAGTTTAGAGAATATTGGTAAAAGATTCCACCAACAAATTTAGGCATAAAGGAAGTATTTAAAACCTAGACTAGAAAGATGGAATAAATACATCATTTTTCAAATAATAACTCTTCAAGAAGAATGAAGATTTAAGTCCTTGCTCGCATTCTAGAGAAATGATTACTGCAGAAATATTACCATCCCACTTACAAAGAGAATTACAGTCAAACTCAGGTTGGAGAGAGGTTTGGAATCCACAGTATATAAATACCAGGCAAGTTCTCCCACCTCCACAATGCAGGAAGTCAAACCAGATGATTACAACAGACCCCTTCAGCACTAAAATTTCTACCTTTATGCAAGTACAAGTTTGTCAATAGTACTTAGAGAAATAGTAGAGCAATAGGATAAAAGACAAATTCTGAAGCCTTCCAGTTAGAACCGTCCTTTTCCAGAAAAAATAAACCAACAAATTATCTTTATGACACTGTGCCACTACAAGATGATCATGCACCATTAGACAACTTTGGTGCTACCGTGCTGTATAAGAATGAACAAGCACTCAGTGTTGCAGTTTAAAGGGCCGGGAAAAAAAAAAAAAAAACAAACAGTTGGGAGACTGTTGCCAAACTATGTAGATATAAATGCTGACTTGCATCCACAGGGCCAGGATTTTAATCCAGTTACTCACTAACACAGAGACACTTGTGGGCATATTTCCTGTATCAAGAGATTTGACTCATATATTTGCACCGATCAGGTGAGCTTCCACCTTTATAGAAATTTTAATCTCTGGCTGAAGGCCTTTTCATTTTTCCGTCTCACCATTTGCATCTTACTTTTTAAAAAAATCTCATTATTTTCCTTCCTACAGAGCACAAAACTCTTTGGTTTTATCCAGTTACAATGGAAAGGCTTCTTCTCCTCTGACTTAAGGTTAATGTTACTTTTCTTTCCATATCCAATTTTCTCACCTCAGCTGCTGACATCAGCTCTCTCTCAGAGTTCCATCCAACTCGGTATTTAATTTTTCCTTCCTCTTTTTTTCATGTATTCCCTCTTCCCTTCAATCCTTTTGCTTTTCAAACTCAGACACAAAGTCTTCATCCAACAGTTAAATAAGCCTGTCTTTGCAGAGAAATATGAGTTGCTTATCAGAGAATGTTTAATGACACAGGGGAAAAAAAAGGACAGAATAATGCCTAAATGTAATTTCCCACAGTTTCCTAGCTAGAACTTTATTAATTCTTTTTGCAACCTGGAATTGTGAATGAGATTGCAATTTAAAACTGCTTGGTATTAAAGAAGTGACATAATGGTATTTATAATCTTTTTTATTTACATCCTTTCTAAGATAAATGAATTTGCCACTACAGAAGCAGCATAGCTCTACTCGTGGAAAAGGCAAACATGAGCAATTTAATCCTCCAGCCAAGCCAGTGCAGCCAAGACCATAGAATTCATGTGATCATAATTAAGTAGCTCAGCACAGTCACTCAGCTGGAGAGCACTTCTGAGGTCATTTGCCTCCTTGCTATACTAGCTAATAACTCCTTGATTTTAACAGAAACACAAAGTTCCTAGATAGGAACTTGTTGTCAAGATGAGAACAAAACAGAATCAAAAAAAACCTATAAGCACAAGGTGTACTTTTACTTGAGAGGAGAGGAGAGAGAGACAGCAAAAGATTCTACACAATATTAAAGTAAGGTGGACAAGGCCAAAATAATAATCAGATGCTTCCAGTATCCAAAGCTCTAGCATAATCTCTCTCTGACACATCCTCACTGCTCTCCCTAGAACATCCACCTCCACAGATATTTGCCCTTTGTGCACAAGGTATCAATAGTCACTCGCAAATTCTGCTCTTAAGAAGCTTGATGACACATCAAACCTCACCAGCTCTTAATCATAAAGCAACCTGTAGCCTTTATGTAATTTTGTTAATTATGATTTGGAGTATGAAGATGAGGTGACAAGCTGGACTTGCTCAGCTTACATTTTTGAAAGTTTATCAAACTATTCCATGAAATCTCTTTTCCCTATATTCGGTAACTCTGGAAGAGAAGCTAAAGATTTGTCTAGTGAAAGCATTTTGTTTCAAATTTTAAGTAAAAAATGACAAATAAAGTGTTTTATGAGAATTAAGCTTCCATCAAGAGAAGTTTTACAATGCTGGAAAAAGGTAGGCTGAGGAAATGGAAAAAGAGACACAGAGGTATCATCACATGGACATCCTGC